CATAAGAAACTGAACAAGACGTTGCTTCTCCCAATACTTGGTATAATTGTCAAGTAACTGCAAATCTGATGGTTCCATTAAAGCAAGTTGATCCCAATAAGTTGTCATCTCATTATAGAACTCCTGAATGGACTTATCTTTTTGACTAGCATTGCGAATAGACATCTCAAGTTCATACTGTTTTGCAAAGTTAGACTTAAGGTACATAGTTTTCAAATAGTTCCAAACTTGTTTAGAAGTAGAATACTTGGAAAAATTCAAACCAATGGTAGTTTGAACTGAATTATGAAATTAAGTAAGAATTTGTGCATTTTCCTTATCCCATTTAGAAACATCAGCCTCAGTTTCTTTAGATTCCATAGGTCTAATAGTTACACCAATAATATAGTTCCGGATGCAACCCATTATAAAGTTCTTCATTACATGAGACCAATAAGAATAATTGGTATCATCTAACTTAGTAGTGATAGCTTGCAATTTATCATCTGTCATATTTCTAAAATTCTATTCACTATTTCGACACGTATCAACAGAAAACCCTTAAATTTTCCTCTAAATGCAATCTCTATATCTCATCAAATGCTCATAAATAATGACTCAAATAAAAAGAGGAAGTGAATAGTACCAGAAAAAGAAAATCTTGAGACGCTACCTCCCTCCATCCGGAGACGAAATCCTGATCGTTTATCAACACAACCCCAAGTGTATAGTCACCCGTAGGGTTTCAAACTCAAAATTCCAAGTAAACCCTAGTACACGATCAAACCACTCTGAAGGCTGATGAGGGAGAGGAGTCTCGAACCACTTGCGAGGAGAGAGAGTGATGTCGATGGTCGATGATGCAAGAGAGAGCCAATGACAGACCTGCGATGCACTGAGATGGACAGAAACGATGGTTGATGATGCAAGAGAGAACCAGCAATGGATGTGCGATGTCGATGCCTGCGATGCGAGAAAGAGCCAGCGATAGACCTGCGATGTGCAACTTCTGGTGCCAAGAATAACCAAGGTTCGATCGTAACTTTACTCTGATACCATGATAAAAGAGAATGAATAGAAATACTGTATCCCTCTTAATCAATCAACTGAGTACAATTATATATATGCTAATAGAATAAAACCCTAACAATCTAAAAGACTAAACTATCCTTAATGAACAATATAAACTCCAAATTCACACTTCTAACCAATAATCACACACCCATTTGTCTCTGTCTTCACTAGGTATATGCATATGAGCCATGGTAGATAATGGTTCATCAGTCAACCAACAATCTGCCCGAAACTTGATCTCTGCACCGTTTCCTACTCTCCATTTCAAGCCTTCTTGTAGAAGGCTTTGTCCCTTATTGATGCTCTTCTAAGTGTAAGAGGCATTTGGCTTACGTGGTCTCGAGATTAGGCTATCGTTCCTTAAATATTTACTTTGTTGTAATACTTGAGACCAGCTACTCCCTTCCTCCCGAAGCATATGCCCCCCAGTCTTAGTAAGAAGCAAAACATTAACATCTTCCATCCTTTGAAAACCCAAACCTCCAAACTCCTTGGGTTTACAAACTTGGTCCCAAGCAATCAAATGCAGCTTTTGCTTAGTTTCATCTCCTCCCCACAATAATCTTTTATGACAACATTTAATTGCTTCACATACACCACTAGGAATTTTGTTGGTTGCATCATGTATGTAGGAATCGTTGAGGTCACTGATTGAATAAGGCTACCTCGCCTTGCTAAAGAGAGCTGATTGACCTTCCAACCTGTTAATTTTTTTTTTATATTCTACGCGGCACACTGATAAGTGTTCTTAGTAACTCTTGAGTACAACAAAGCCACCCCCAGAAATTTGCCCAGTTCTCTTGTGAAAGGAACATGCATAGGAAACTTGCCTGTGCTTTGCTGATCGGTATCAATACTGAACAGGCAAGACTGAGGGAGGGAAAAGAAGCAAGAAGTGTGGTGAACATGAAAATAGTATTCTGTGAACTTGACTTTAGCTCCAAATCATGTCAGATCCCTAAAGAGTCAATTCAAGAGAATCTAATTGTTGTGAAGCATTCTCCATCTTTTGAAGCTGATTTGTTTGTATGCATTATGTTGCATGTGATGCACTTAATAATTGTAGGGCATTTCAGTCAATTATGTTTAGATTTATGCAAATTCTTGGCAACAGAATTAATTTTTACAAACTACATGGTTAAACTTTTGTTAATTTTCAACTGAGGATTACCATGCAACCTGCTAGTGTGGAGAAGAATATCTCAATATTACACCCTATGTTACCTAGAATGTGGATTGTTCTAGTACGTGGAACGGGAACGGGAACGGGAATGGGAACGTTGTACGCCACATGCTATTAGATGTGGTACGATTGGTGTAGACTTATATATATTACACTTGAGAATTTAAGATACTTCTAAGTAATTTTTTTTTAACTATTAGACATCCAATAAAATGTATATATTTTTTTTAATTTTAATTTTTAATTTTTGATATTTTTGTCTTTTCAAAACTTAACTCACCTTAGATTTTAACTTATTATATTTGATTTTTTTCTCCTAAGGTAACGTTTAAGAAATATATTGGAAAAAAACTTTTGGAATTGCTTCGGATCACTAAATTTATCATTTTGGAATGAAAGTGTACCATGTTTCGGAACGTGCGTACTAATACATAATTTGCCAAGGTATTAGCGTTTTCTGGTAACATAGATTACACCATTAGACCTGGACAAAAAAGGCATGATGCTCCAAGACCTTGAATTTGTGCTATAATGCTGCTCAAATTGTGAATATTTCATAACATTAATCCTTGCACCAAATGTTAATAACACCGAATCTACAGATAGTAATCTTTAATAGACATGAATTAAAGGTTCATCGTAGAATTTGATTATGCAAGTTTTCCTCATTTTCAAATTCACAAATGAGTACATATGGGCCTTCTTGTCAGCATCCTCTTCATAGTGGGGCTATTTGTCACAACCTTTTTTAATTATTTGACATTTTGTCACATTTCTGAATGATTATTTTGTTACTTGGGTTTATCCTATTTAAATTTGTGCAATGCCGCTAACGTGTTGATACTATAAAAAAAATGGGCACATTGTGTTTGAAACTGGCTTTGGTTTTCCAAATATGGAATTGATCAATTAGCCTCTTGTATTAAGTCCAATGTGATGTCGAAAGGAAGAATTTTCATCTCTTTGAAGCAAGTTTATCCTATTGTTGGCCAGGAGAAATTATTTAGTACAATAGCGGCAATGTGTAATGATGCTAATGTGGTTTGAAAACCCAATTGGATCTTGCCCGATTGTGCACTGGTACAATCCCCATGTTCACATCAACAAATGACTTGACATAAGCTAAAGTTAACACCATTAAATAGTATTGGTGTAATTACCACCAGAAAATAAATTTATGGCAAAAATAAATACAAAGCCAAAAAAAAAATATCATCATGAGAAGACACCAAATTTAACGTGGTTTGGCTAACTTGGTCTACATCCACGGATATTTTCTTTTGATCCACTATATTAAATCATTACACATCATCCAATCACAAAAATAATACTGGCTTACACAAAATAAAGAATTTTTACAAAGCAGATTGAGTCGCGGTAGTATCGCTTTCTTTAAGGAGATTCAACACCTTTGCAGTTGGTAAAGCCTTCAAAACCATTCGATGCAGCAGATCCTTTGACTTGTCTCCCCTATGATACAACAGCCCGAGTGCCGTGTTGGTTTAAACTATATCTGCACAAGAGGTTAAACCCAAAGCTCCACCAAGAAACACCTTTATAGATTGCTTGGAAATATGTGTAAAAAACGCAACATAAAATAGTAACAAACATAAAACATAAGACGAGAGACTCACTCTCTTCTTGATCACAACTATCTTACGGCTATGAAACACACACATAAATAGAAGTTGAGAACCGACTTAGTTAATTCAGTGGAGATGAAGCACCATTTTGTCACATGTTGTCTTGTCCATTCTTCCATAACATTACTTTTGCCGTTTTGCTCAAATACAAGAGGTGGTGGAGGAGACTTCTACCTTGTTCTATATTTTTTTATTAAATAAATTTCACAACATATATTAAATTCTATAATATTTACAAAAATTTTTAAATTTTTACAAAAGTTTTTTTTTTTTTTTTTTTTTTGTATACAAAATATGTACCAACAAAGAGTATTATGCTGCTCTAATAAAAAAGAAATGGCCTGCATGCTAAACTTCCCCGTTGTGTCTCTCTCTGTTCACCTCCCTCCTCTCTGTCAATCCAGATCCATCAGCCACATTGCTACCAACTCCTAAAAATGCTTCATGTTTCTCTGATTCTTGAGTCTTCTTGGTCCACCATGGTTGGGAGATACAGGTCTCACTTGTCAGCTCTTCTTGATCAAGCTATTCCCACTTGGCCTGAGATATTATCTTCAACTTGTCTCTTGCTGAATAAGACCTGTATTGGAGTGCCTTAGCTTACTTAGATATTTTATCACCTAACTCCAGTTTCTTGTACTAGATAAAAGTAAGAAAGGCAAAATATTAAGCTTACTTCTATTTTTGCTAATGGGCTCAGATATTTTTGTGCTTAGATCTGTTCAAATCTTCAGTGGTCTGGTAGAAGATACATGTTTAGCTTAAAAAGTGACTTTTGCTGGGCTGAATTAGTGGCATAGAAAAAGTTTAACGATCTGATAAGGTTGACTAAAGAATTGTTATTTATTCAGATATTTCATACATTGTTTCGTATGTATGCTAGTGGAACATGCTGAACAATAACAGTCGACTCTTTCTCCAAATAATAGGGAGAATTATATTTTTTTTTATCTTCACAGTTTGAGGGCAATTGTTCCGGATTGTTAACTGCATCGGAATTGCTTTTCAACTTTTGTAACAAAAAATTAGGATATTATCTTCACAGATTTATGTCATCATTTGACATATTTTGTTTGTTTGCCCCCTTTTGACTAATTATTTTATTGTTATGTGTAAGGCAGACAGGAGTTGCCCTGGGTCTTGAAGTCGACGATAAGATGCCACAACATGAGTATTATGAGTATTTTGGTCCAGACTATACTCTTCATGTTGCCCCCAGTAACATGGAGAACAAAAATTCACGACCGTTACTGGAGGAGATAAGGGCTAATCTTCTTGATAATCTTTCGAAGCTTCAACATGCTCCCAGTGTCCAATTTCAGGAAAGACCACCTGATACTGAGCTTCCTGAGGTGTGCTTCTATGTTCATTTTTGTTCTATCTATTCACTCCTTGTTCTACCATAAAAAAGAAAAGAAAAGAGAGAAGCTTTTATGGAATATTACAGGACAACAAGTTTAGGGTTGTCAAAGTGTAATGCTGTTTTCTGGGGCCAGTGTCAAAATTCTTCTGAGTGATGTCTTGGTGATCAATTTGTGCTCCACTTCATTGTTGACGAGTAAGAAAAGAACTATATTCAAGATGATATGATAGGTTGAGATTGGGGTGACTGATGTGAGATTCAAAATTCAATGATGGATTCAATTTTTATGGGTTTGATGTAAAACTTCCTGGAATTTGTTTCGCTTCCTAATGACAACTTTGATGAAAGGATCATATTTCTTTCTTCGAACAAATATTGCAAAAGAACTATAGTAAAATTGCCTCTGTTCGATGTTTGTTTGCTTGATAATTTTGGTGTGTTCCTAATAATCTAAGAAGTATGGACACGGACACGTGACGTGACACGGACACGCGAACACGTAAAGTTTCAAAAAATGCAGGACAGGGCATGTTGGGGACACGTTTAAAAACATATATTTTTTTATTTTTATTATATGTATATTTTTAAATATTTAATATGTATTTTATGTCAAATATTTAATTTTATCAAATTTGTCAACCTTAGGTATGCTATTTTAGTAAAAAAAATTTAAAAATTAAATTTTTTTTTTGAAAAAAATAGTATTCAGTGTGTTTCTAATGTGTCCCTAGCATGTCTTCAACGTGTCCCTTGCTTGTCCTCAGTGTGTCCGCAGCATGTCCAAAGTGTCCCATCGTGTCCAACTCTTTCCAGCGTGTTTGTGTTTGACACATGTCGGACACTTGTACGCGACTTCTGGAGAGGTGTCCATGCTTCATAGCCAATAATTATGTAGTTACATTAGTGTTTTCCTTTAGCAACTGAGTTGATAATCACTTTTTTCTTTCACCATTAATGAATGGATCATTGAAATATGCTTGTCAAAGGGAACGATGGGTGCTTCATTTATATCTGAATATAGATATTTTTGGTGATTAGCTTGATTCCAATTTGTCTGTGACTAAAATTTTGATTGTTTGTGTATCAGTTATATACTTAACCTTTGGCAATGTAATTGTCCTCCACTTTTAGGGGAAGAGTGTTGTTCATGACTAGTTTTTGTCACAATAACTGGTCCTTGCCAGCAAATTTAGAAAATATTCAATTTATGTGTTGATGAGCGGGCTTAGGCATTTGTTGGCTTTCTCGGAGCGAAGGCTGTGGTGAATTGTGATAGCTTTGTAGGAGCTTTGGGGAGGTGTAGTGATGGAAGTTTTCTCATAAATCTATGGGGAGTGAGTGAAGTAGTGGGTAGTGTATGGGGATTTATTGGAAGTGAGTGTCTTAGAAGGAGAGAGAAGTGTATATGAGTGATGGAGGTTGAAATAGGAAAGGGGTATGTTTTTGGAAGTGGGTGTCTTGGAAGGAGAGGGAAGTGTATATGAGTGATAGAGGTTGAAGAGGAAGGGGGTGGAAGTTGATTGCTGGGTTTTCAAGGAGTTTGTCGTTAAGGAAGCAAAGGAGGTGCAAGGAAGGGCAAGAACAACCATCACCTCTTAGCCCACAAAAGGTGATGCCAGTATGTCACAGCTGCTTAAACTCCAATAAAGCCCCAAATTTGCTCCCCACTTCCTTAATCACATTACCTAACTCCATAGATGTACAAGTAGGCCCTCACCTCCTTAGGCCCTACTCTAGATTGAAACATACCAACTCTGTAGCTAATACACAATATGCTTCCTTCCCTGAAGGAAACACAAAAGGAAGAATGCTCCTTGTAGCTCAAGCACTTGCACCCCAATCAAAACCTCCATCTCCAATTTGCCACTTTGCAACCTTAAAGTCTCTAGAATCCACACCTCCCAGCCCCCAAACAACTCCCAAACACCCTCTACAAGAAATTTCACATCACCTTACATGTCCTCTCTTCCACCTCCATATCACAACCCTCTCTAGAAACATTTAGATGCAGCCCAAGGTCATTTTCAGTCCACTTTTTAAAACTACGCCACTTGCAGATATGTTCTTGCCCTCCCTTGCACCTCCTTTTGCTTCCTTAGTGACAAACTCCTTGAAAACCTAGCAATCAACTTCCACCCCTTTCCTCCTTCAACCTCTATCGCTCATATACACTTCTCTCTCCTTCCAAGACACCCACTTCCAAAAATATACCCCCTTTCTACTTCAAGTGTATATGAGTGATGGAGGTTGAAGTAGGAAGGGGGTTATGTTTTTGGAAGTGGGTGTCTTGGAAGGAGAGAGAAGTGTATATGAGTGATAGAGGTTGAAGAAGGAAGGGGGTGGAAGTTGATTGCTGGATTTTCAAGGAGTTTGTGGCTAAGGAAGCAAAGGAGGTGCTAGGGAGGGCAAGAACATATTTGCAAGTGGCATAGTTTTAAAAAGTGGACTGAAAATGACCTTGGGCTGCATATAAATATTTCTAGAGAGGGTTGTGATATGGAGGTGGAAGAGAGGACATGTAAGGTGATGCAAAATTTCTTGTAGAGAGTGTTTGGGAGTTGTTTGGGGCCTGGGAGGTGTGGATTCTGGAGCCTTAAAGGTTGCAAAGTGGCAAATTGGAGATGGAGGTTTTGATTGGGGTGCAAGTGCTTGAGCTACAAGGAGTATTCTTCCTTTTGTGTTTCCTTTAAGGGAGGAAGCATATGGTGTATTGGCTAGAGAGTTGGTATGTTTCAAACTAGAGCAGGGCCTAAGGAGGTGAGGGCCTACTTGTACATCTATGGAGTTAGGTAATGTGGTTAAGAAAGTGGGGAACAAATTTGGGGCTTTGTTGGAGTGTATGCAGTTGTGACATACTGGTATCACCTTTAGTGGGCTAAGGTGTTGGTTAGAGGTGATGGTTGTTGTATCCCTCATGTCGTGATTATTGGATGCGGGCCAACAAGGTTTGAAGTCCTAGTGTGGTCTAATCAGGACCTAGAAAGGCTAGAATGGAATTTCTATGTTGATAAGTAGGAGGTGACCGACTAGTTACAAAAGGAAACTTGGGAGATGAAGGTGGCTTGTCTAGAAAAGGAGAGAAAAGGGCATAGAGGTGGTTGAGCTTAGGGTTGAAGGGAGGGGTATGTGGCGTACATCTAGAGGAGCCTCTTAATTTGAAAATTTAAGTGGAATATAATTGGTGAGAAGGGAGAGACCATGGAGTCAATATTAAGTCAATTGGTTAGATTGTTAGGGACCATGATATTATTTAGGTGGGCCAAACAGATGGAAGACTTGGGCCTATGTGATTCTCCTAGGCTGAGAAAGGTAAATGGCCAATGCGTTGATTGAACCATAATAGAGGGGGTTATTGGGCTTTATTTTGAAAGGTAGATGACTGGCTCATGAGATCATAACTGTTAACAAGGAAGTGAGCCTTCGATGATGGGCCTTTCCAAAGTAGGTGGAGATCCTAATTGGAGTCATTTAGATAGGCCTAGATCAACATAGGTCTTTCACTACTTTGGGATGGGTTGTAGGAGTTATGTGGGAGGGATGAGGTGGTATAACCTAATCTCTTTTGGTCCACTTGAAAGACCCTTGTTTTGGTATATCACCGAAAGTATAAGACAACACGGGAGGGGAACATGGTCGATCAGTGTAGGGCTGAAGTGATCGAGCTAGGGGTGGTTGTGGTTGGGCAAGTTCTAGATATAGTGGGAGTCTAGTGTAGGAGGGGAAATGTGTGGAGAGAAGCCAAAGGTATGAGATTGTAGTAGTTGGGGGAGCAAAGAGGTTGAGCTTATAGCGGAGGAACCTATGGCCAATGTTGTACGGGATGAGGGGTGTAATGGGCATGGAAGATTTTCATTATAAGATGGCTTGGAGATGTAGGAAAAAAAAAATTAGATGGGGATCTCTATTCGATGACTGTGGTAGGAAGCTTTTGGATGACTGTGGTGGAGTGCAAGCATTGTTTGGTGATGGGAAGGTGGACCTTCAAAGAAGTCAGAGGACTTTGGAAAGCTATTAGGAAAAGTTAGGCCAACTTACTAGGACATGTTTATTATGCTATTGGAGATGGTTGTAGGGTGAGATTTTGGGTGGATCAGTGGTGTGGGGATGCTTCTCCATCCAGATCCTATTTGCTGCTTTTCAGGACTGCTACTAATAAAAATCTTTGTTCTCTAGTTTCTTGTGGTTCTTGTAAGCAAGAGAATTGTGGGAACCTTCTTTTGTTAGAGCCTTTCAAGATTGGGAGTTGGAATCAGTTGGTGCCTTTTTGTAAAATCTTTAAGAGTGAGGATTAATGTGAATGGGAAAGATGAGTTGAGATGAAAAGGAAAAAGGGATTAGGTTTACTCTCAGATCTTTCTACTTGGTGCTAGTTGGTAGGAAGGGAAGGGATTTTCCTTGGAAGCATACATCGAAATTTGAGGTTCCTACCAAAGTAGCCTTCTTTGTCATGACAATGGCTTTGGATGTTGTTCATGCCATTGACGATTTGGGTAAGGGAGGCTTTTCCTTGCTTAACTGGTGTTGCGTGTGTAAGAAGGCAGAGGAGTCCGTTTATCACCAGTTAGCAAGAGACTTGTGCAATTTATTGTTTTCCTTGTTTGGAGGTAGTTGCGTTATGTTGGCTCAGTGCTCTAGCTTTTTGACTGTTGGGATCATGGGTGCCATGTGAAGAGGGTGAAGAAGGCTTGGAGGGTGGCACCCTTGTGCTTATGTGGTGCCTTTGGAGAGAAAGAAATAGGAGAATTTTAGAAGATTTACAAATGGCTATACATTGATTCATAGACTAAAGCCTTCTTTGATACGATTTGTTCATTTTTGGTTGAAGGAGGACTTTTGTGAATCCTCTTTTTTGTTAGTAGATATTATAGGAGAGTTACATTTTGGGGAGGAGATTTTACCTGTTCTTGTTTATGTACAACTTATTGTAGATCATTATTTATATTGCATCAGCTACTTGTTTCTTGTGGTTCACTCTATAAACATAGAATATTTTTTAATTTTAGGCAGATGAAGATGAAGATGATGGAGATGAAAGATGGGATCCGGATTCTGAGATGGAAATTGATGCGGAGTGGTATTTTGTTTTTCACTTCTGTCATTTTCTTGTTACGTGCCTTTAAGTTTCAATTTTGACTAAATTATTTTTGTACAGTAAACCTCTACCAAGCAGAGTGAAGAGAGAAATTGTTGAATTGGAGCCTAAAGATATGGTATGCTTTGCATAGTCCTTTTCTTAGGGGTTGAATGATTTCACATTGCTTTGCCATTTAAATGTTTATTTGTCAGGAGGAAAAATGATTTATTCTAGAAAGAGAGGGCTTGCAAGGTCCTCCAATAGCAAGAACATGTTACATGAACAATATTTTCTTGAAGTCCAAGTAATCATTTATGTCACAAGGAATTGTGCTACTACTTATTTCATTTGTTATGATTTGTGCAAGAGAACCAATTCTGAGAATGAAATTAGTTTTAATGTGTTTTCTTCTTATTTTGTTTTACAATTTTTACCCTTATTTCCTTTTATCTGTGTGTGTTTGTTGTGGAGTAATGGTGAAGTGGGGAATGGCAGCATGACATAATATGGAATGTTGTGATGCTTTACCTTTCATCTCCTTCACAAAAGCTCTGATCAATAGCATCACTGTTTATGCATCTTGGTATCCTTTGATGTAGTAATTGAGGGGAAAATTATCAAAGATTAAGTGTTCCAGGAGTTTAGGTATACTTGCCAAACAGAAAGGATTAGCAGTAAAGCAAAATAGATAAATCCCCCCAGGAGTAGCTTTGCAAATAGGAGGGTCTTGTTCATTAACAGCTGAGGAAAACTCAAATCTAGTGGCAATGATGTAGAAATTCTCCATCACTTCTCATCTATGTTACACAGACTTAGTTGTAGGAATCAGGTGTGGGTGCATATCTGGGGGTCGGACGTCTCAAAACTAAAAATGGAGGATATTTGGATATGGATATAAGTTTTTCCAATAACAACCCATAACAGCTCATGTTATTAAAAGAGAATGTTGGCCAGCTAGAAAACACTAAAAGGCTCAACTCGTATGGAGTTTACAATGTGCTGGGCCTTAAATACACACGATTGATCACATAGCAAGTGGTATTCAAGGCGTCGGCCCAAAACTTGAGAGGCACCTTTTTGCTAAAAAGCATTCTCTTGCCATCTCTTGAACCACTCGGTTCTTACTCTCAAGTACTCCATTTGTTTTAGGGTTTTGGGTGCTGAAAATTCATGTTTAATGCCTAGTTTATCACAAAAATCCGAACGCTCAATGTTATCAAACTCTCTACCATGATGGGTTTGGATTCTTGTGTTGCACCGCAACACCAAGGACTTGAAAGCCTCAACGGTGTCCATTTTTTTTTGCGTAAAAAGTTCACCCAAGCGAATAACAGTTCAGAAAATGTATTTTTTTACCTCCAATGCTTTCAATACAGTTTGGTGCCCTCAAATCCATGTGGAATAGTTCTAACGGACGCTTGGTTGTCATTTTGTCTACTTTCTTATTTGGGGCTTTAGTTTGTTTCCCCAATTGACATGGCCTACACACGTGGTTTGTAGGTCTTTCCATTTTGGGCACATCACTCACAAGCTCCTTGTTGGCTATCTTAGCTTTGTCTTTGTAGTTCATGTGACCTAGTCTTTGATGCCACAAGTCAACATTACTAACAGTGGCAGAATGGCATGTGAGATCACTTGTGATTAATATTCCATAGCAATTGTTGGATATGCACACACCATGCATCACACCTTTTTTGTCCAAAATCTGACAACCATCTTTTGAAAAATGAACCTCATGGTGTGAATTGCACATTTGACTAATGCCAAGGAGATTTGCCTTAAGACCATCTACTAGTAATACATTTTCCAAATTGGGTAGTTTGGGAGTACTTATAGAACCTCTTCCAATGACTTTAAAAGTGTTTCCGTCCCTAGATGTGACGAGTCCTTCATATTTTTCAACACGTGAAGTAGGACTCGTCACTGGACATGTGCTAAGAGCAACCACTGTCAAGATACCACATGTGTGCATCATGAGCTTTAAGAGCGGTGTGAACAACATAGCAAGTCAAGTCGCTCTTTCTTACCCAAGCCTCTCTAGTTTTAACCTATTGGTCTCTTTGCGGTTTTTGGGTGTTATCTTAGCGGTGTCGATCCCATTTCTCAGAATAGGAGCCCGCCTAGACATCAAACATTGTTGCCTAGTCCAAGAGGTATTTGTGTTCCTCCTACCTCTTTTTTGCACATTACCATTCAAGTTAAAGCAATAAGGTCTAATGTGACCCATCATACCACAATGATGATAAATGGGTGCAAACTTACCCTTGGCAACGAACTCATGCGCTAGAGGAGGTGTTAGAGATAGAGCTATTCAAAAATCTGAGTAAATTGACCAACCTGATTGACCCGATCTGAACTGAAGTTGAATGGTTGATTTCGATAAGTTGACTGGTCGGAAACAGTTCTACAAGCTTAAGATATGTGGGGTGCTCGGTCGGCATTGGTCTTTTGATACATTGACACGTCGAAACCAAACCGATCGAAACTGGCACACTAATATATAATGTTCCAACTTCTAAGTTTTAGCAGATTAGATATTTTAGGTTATATGATAAGTTTGACTATATCTCTTTCCAGGAAAGATAATAAATAAATAATAAAAATAAACTATTCAACTTCTACTTTTTATCATTTTTAAGGAACAATTTAGAAAATCTGACATCTCTCTCTCTCTTCTCTCTCTTTTTCCTTCGTTTCTCCTTTAATTATTTCATTCAAAAAAATCTAGAGAGTACCAACAAACAACCTACCTAATAATTTTTCGTCTTGCAAATTCACCTAACCATTTGGGTTTCTCTATCAATAATTCCTTCTTTCAAAAACATTATAGAGAAAACAAAAGGCACATAGTTATCTCTCTCATACAAACCCAACTCTATCTCTTTCTTTCATTATTGATTGTCGACATAACAGAGCTCTTCCACAAACCTTATAGAGAAAACCAAAGGGCACACAGTCCTCTCTCTCATTATCGACCTAGTAGAGCTCTTTTAGAAACTCTGTGACATCAACTCATGGTGGAGAGATTAGGGGTGTTCATGGGTCAGTTTGGTTCGGTTTTTGGAACCAACCCAATCATGATTGGTTCCAAGTTTTTGGACATAGAACCAAACCAATCATGCACTAGAACCAACCCTACCTAACCTAATGTAGCTCGGGTTGGTTTGGGTTGGAACCACGGTTTTACTATATTAAAAATAAGCAAATCAATTGCTAATAAATAATTAAAATAAATAAGTCTTTAACATTTAAACATAACGTAAATAAAAAGCAAATATTGTTTAATGCAAGCCAATACAAATTAAATCCAACTCAAGCTTAAATATAATTAATACAAATTAAATGTATTATTACAACAAATACAAACTTAATCAATTGCGAAATCTAACTCAAGCTTCTAATACTTCTTTGGTTTATCTAATAGTTCTTGTATATAAAATTATTAGGTATAATCAAGTCTATTGTAATAGAGTAATAAGGTGAAGATATGTCAATATAAATAATATTTTAATATATATATATATATATAAATAGGTTCGATTCTTGGGTTGGTTCGGTTTAGGCAAGGCCTAAATCAAGAACCAACCTAATGCTATCGGTTTGATGATTTGAAGACTTAGAACCAAGGTTTCAAAAAGCGGTGTTACGTAATAGTTGCGGCGATAGACACTACCCGTTATACCTGCTTTTGCAGTGTGATGGAAATTCATATATGTAACGGCCATTTCAGTGTTACATAAATGCCGTAGCGGTATCGTAATGGCCCATTACACACCGTTACATACATTTACAATATTCTGAACAGCTTCCTTTCCAAAAAAAAAAGCTTACAAAATATAGATTATACACATTCTGCAATATTCAGGAGCTCAAAAATAATTTTTGTTTGTGTCTTAATTTTTATTTTTATAATCATTTCATTTAATAATTGTTAACATTTTTTATTTAGTTAGTTCAAGTATTGGTCAAAAATAATTTTGTAAACATTTATAATAAATTATTCTTAAAAAATAAATAAAATAAGAGGTACAATATGGGTTTATGATATATAATCATTAACTATTGAAATAAAATGTAAAAATTTCATTTAAAAGTGATTTAAAAATATGAAATATATTGGATCATACTTAAAAACTAACAAAAATGGATCAAAATCTATTTTAAACTCCAATAAATGTGATTTTGAAAAAAAATATATGCGTATTGGGTAAGTGTTTTTTTCCAAATTGTGTGAAAAATAAAAAAATTTAGGGTTCCGGTTACCGCAACCGTTACGCTACGGCCTTCACATCCTGCAACCGCACGACCACAACTGTTACAGCGATCACAACCGCTTTTTGAAACCTTGCTCAGAACCAAACCAATGTACTCAAAAACCAACTCAACCCAACCCAACCCAAAGAGGTCAGTTTGGTTCGATTCTTCGGTTTACTGGGTAATTTGAAAATCCCCAGTGGAGATCGTAGACCTCTTCACAAACTCGCTCCTTATAATTCTCTATCTCAGTTCTCTATTTGGTCGATCGATGGTGGGGGATGGATGTATCAATGATAGCAGTGGTTGATCGATGGTGGAGATGAGTTCTTTTACTCTCATCTTTGTGTTTATGTTGAGTTCTTTCAGTCTCAGATCTATGTTTATATGTTCATTGTGCGAAACCGATCGACAAAACCAAATGAAGAAATGGTCGAGTTCGAAACCTCGGTTGACATCGGTTGATAAAAACTTCAAATCGAAAGGATCGGTTTGAGTAACGGTTGCATGTGTAAACCCGAGCCGACCGACCTGCGAACACGCCTAGTTAGAGAAATGTTACCTTTTGTTGAAACAAACCCCTTTTACACGTTGACTACTCATGTCATTTGAAGTAGATGCTGTGAACTCAGTGCCGAGACTTCCGTTGTAGCCCAACCCTCCTTTATTGAATACCATCTGTTGTAAGCTGAGTGCTACTTCCAAGTTTCGTGAACCTGTGTTCTAAAACTTCAATGTGGCATTAACACTTTTAAATTCCACTTCCATTTTGGTGATCTTTGCCTCGAGTTCCTTCTTGGACTTTGCATAAGTCTCCAGTTCCTTGCCATGCGCATCATGAGCCACAATCAAGTAATTTTTCTCTTTCTTACACGAAGAGAGTTTATCAATCAACATTGCTCAATCACATGATAGTTGGCCTACTTTGACTTGAGCATCTAGAAGTTCTTGTTTAATTTTCTCATCCAGCTTTTCCCCCAACTTGACTTTGGTTGATAACTTCAAGTTCATTTTAGTTAAGTTGTAACAATTTCTCGTAGGCTTGATGTTGTGCTTCACCATCAACTTCCTCTCCCATCTCGTCTTCCTCATGTGATGACTCTTCTTCACCATTTATTAACCCTTTCAAAGACTCCTTGTTTTCACTCTTGACCTTAATGAATCTCCAACCTTGGGGGATTCAACTTTGATTACATAGGCAATGGAGGTGCCTTGAGTCTCATCCATAGATTGCATATCCTCCTGAATAGATTTTAGGATGTCCCACGCTTCCTTAGCAGTCTCACAATGTGAAATATGACTCTTGTCACTTTTAGTGATAGCATTGAGTATCTCATTTGTTTTGAACTCCATACCATCTAATTCTCGCTTGCTCTTTTGAGCTTGAGGTTTCAAGATTTTCATATTTGTTTTTGGATTTATCATGTAAGGCATTTTAAATCTTTCTTTTTTAAATACCCATAGACGAAAGTTCAAAGATATCAAGTACATCCTCATGCAGATTTTCCTGTACAACTATTTGCTTCCGTCAAGGAAGGGAGGCCTAGATATGTTATGACCACGAGCATAATTGACTTGTCCTCAATTGTAGTCAATGCCATGTAGGCCACAAAGTTACCATCCCCTTCTTCACTGTAAGGCAACATCGCCCTTTTTACAGTAAATCTCATCATCTCAAGTCACTGTGTAGATTTCTTCTTTCTCTTCTTGCTTGGGCATTCTTGGACCAACCTTGAGCTTATCATTGCCTTCAATCTTTTGGAATGGTTCTTGAAATTAGGCTTCTTTGTTCTTAAAAACTTTTTAAACTGTTTGGTAAACAAACCCATCATCTTGGAATCCATCTCAAGATCATCATTGTATTTTTTTCCATCCCCATGGCTACTATTAAAAGCGATTGCTTCCTTTTGTTTCTTTTCTCTTATTTTTCTTCTTCCAAGTGAGCCTCATAGGTTTGGAGATTTCTAACTAATTATTCAAGATTGAGGTTTTCGATATCTTGTATCTCCTCAATCGCTGTAACTTTTGGTTGGAACCGATCGGGTAATGACCTTAAGATTTTTCCCGCAATCTTTGACTCTGGGAGTTTTTCCTCTCAAATTGAAGTTGGAATTCACAATATCACTCAACTTGGCATAAAAATCATAAAAAGCTCGCTAACTTTCATGGTTAAAGTTTCAAAATTTGTAGCGAGTCTTTGAAGTTTTGAGCGTTTGACTGAAGTGGTGTGCCTTCATGAGTGATCTCTAGGATATCCAATGCCTTTGCAATTTCACACGTACATATACGTCTAAATTCCTCAGGTGTGACAGGGAAAAAAAAGAAGCAGCATTGATAGCCTTGCTATTCCAACTGCAATTTTCGGAACTGGTCTTGTCTCATTCTTCAATCATTTTGGGAACTGTTATGCCATGCTTGGTAACAGTCAGTTCTTTCCACCCATATATGATTGCCAAACTTTTTCATCAGCTGCTTTTAAAAACGCTCTCATACGAGCTTTCCAATATGGGTAATTAGAACCGTCAAGTAGGGTGGAGGAATAGTGGAATTACCCTTAATGAATGGAATCTATAATCACAAATCAATCAGTATCTTGCTCCTATTGCTCTGCAAATCAAAGATTGAGCGACCGGCTCTAATACCAATTCAAAAACCTAATCCCGAGATGTTGATTTGTATTCATGAATCAATATCAAACATAGCCAACAATCAATAGCAATTCCCATATGAACAACCACAGATCTAACCCAATTTAAAGAGAATTGAATTAGATCTACTCACAAATTGAATCAATGCACACAAACGATTTAACGTGGAATATCCACCAATTGTGATAAAAAAATCATGGGCCGAAGCCACAAACAATGCACAAAGAAGATCAAGGAATTACACAATGAGTACACTTAATTACCTAGTAAATCCATGCTTAAATCGACTCACAACTCACTATGCGTCTCCCAACACCATCTTCAATCAATTGTACACCAACCGCCGAATCCATGAGAAAAGCGAGAGCTTAAAATTCGTCAAAATCACCATGCTGAAATTCCCCGAAATCCACTGAACACTTCTCGTGAAAGGTGAATTTGATGAACAATCCTTGATGATCTTCAATCCATGGAGCTATGAGTACAAGATCAATCTCAATTCATCAAGGTAAGTGGTTGGATCTATGCAGAACTCTCTCTCTCTCTGGTTTTCGCATTTCAGGGATCAGAACTTGAGAGTCTCAGGTCAGATCTGAAATGTGCCACGCACATATAAGTAATGTACCACGTTCATATAATAGAATTGGTTGCCTCAGACTGCTCGAGCAAACTCACAACAGCTCGAGTGGGTTCATAAAGCTCTGCAGGAAGTAGAAAATGAAATCTGAGAAACTGCTAGGGTGTCATGATCGCTCGAGCCAACTTGAGACCGCTCGAGCGGTTTATGCCCTTCTGCACTGCAGGTCTGTGATGCTCCAAGAACTAAAAAACCATTCAGTGTGTTGGTTTGAGTTTTTTGGATTACGTTTTTTAAAAATTGAGTTTTTTGATTTTCGTATTTTTTTGTTTTTAGTGAATATTTTTAAAATTTTAAACATTTTTTTTTACTTTTTTAAATGCATCTTACTTAGATGTATCTAAAAAGTAAAAAATTTGTGAAAAAATATTTTAAAAAATTAATAAATACATAAAAATACAAAATATGTACGGAATTCTCGTATTTTTTTTTGTATTTTTGGTATTTAGTGAATTTTTAAAAGGTTTCTTTCACAAATTTTTTACTTTTTAGGTATATTTATGTTAGGTATGTCTAAAAAGTAAAAAAAATTACTTAAAATATTAAAAAAATTCAGTAAAAACAAAAAAACACGAAAACACAAGAAAGTAGAATTTTCTGAAAAGAGTTTTTGGAAAACTCTAACTAAGCATGCTGATTGACATACGCTCGAGTGATAATAGAATAAACACATGACACGAGAGGTGGATTTGCATCTAAAACTCACTCAACCTCACAAATAAAAAGAACAATGAGAATACAACGAAAGTGGCCTTCGTCCTAACAAAAATTAATAGCAATAAATTCAAAATGGAATGCCGGGATGCACTGGTACTGGTATGTACTGTACCGATAGCAAAAACGGTACACTGGCTGGTGCGGGAGTCATGACTTTGATTGACATAGGCTAGTCTAAGTCTTTAGGGGTAAATATTGGATTTTCATAGTTTAATATGAGAGGAAGTCTTTTTTTTGGTTAGTTGTTTGTGTAACAATTATATATGAGGGGCCAGCTATCATGATAAATGCCCATTTTTGGCACAAATTTCTAAATCCCTATAATTTTTGGAAGCTTTTTAAATGTCTCAGGGGTGTTTATTTGATTTTTATAATTTAATTCTAGTGGGAAGTTGCATCCTTAACAATTAATTATGCAGAGCACCATACAATAAAATTAGTTTCTGCTTTATTTTTGTTTTTTTTAATTATTTAATTTGAATTTTGTACTTGAAGGGGCAACTTGAACAATATCAACTCATACAGAGTCAGTTATTTTGTATTAACTCTATCTAGGGTCATATCTTTGTATTCGGTGATTTCATATACTCTAACCTTGAGTAATCCTTCTCACAATTGGATTCACTAGTCTATGTTGCACCTTGCAAACCCTTCTTTGATGTTTTTTAGCCACATCTTAGTTGGTGCCACCTATAGCTTATCATTTTCACATTTGCAATATAGCAAGTACTATTTCCTAAATCTATATTATCTATTTGTCAGATCTATTGCATTAGACTGTATGGGACCTGTTAATTGTTTTGCTTTCCTGCCTTACGAGTGTTGGTTTTGATATTCAATGTCCCAGGTGGATCAAAAAATAATTGAGGAGCAAGCTAGAGGCATCAACACTACACAGGAGCCAACTGCAATCTTAAAGGTGAAGAATTAGAAAAACAAAAAACCAAAAAATGCACATAATAGATTGACAAAAGTAAACTACATGCATGGATCAATCCTTTTCAACGCTGACATTTTTATTTTTATTTTTGGTTTTTGTTGACGACATGAAGAAAACATGCACAATTGAAGTACATAAGCACTAACAGCGTTCTTTTTGTTTGGCATTGACTCTCATTCTCATTGTCACAGGCTCCAGACAGCAGATCTAGGCTAATAGATGAATCATGTTTGAAAGTTGAACAAGAAAACATGAAGAAGCCATGTGATGCACGAGCTCAAATGTAACCTAGGGCTACATGGTGAAGTTTCGTTACACCAGCACGAATGCATTTTGGCTCTACCTTTTTTAGTTTTCACATCTTTCTTTCCTTGTTTGTGAGTGCACACATTTGAAAAGCCAAGGAAGCCAATCTCTTTCTTTTTCTTTCTTTTTTGTTTTTGTTTTTTTTTTTCTTTTTTCATAAACATTGATTTCTAAGTTTATGATAAGATGACAATGTTTAGAACATTTCCAATAGTGTAGTACTTAACTGTAGTTGTATTCAAATCCCATAGTTAAACAAAAGGTAGGCACTCCAACTTATGCTACCTAAATAACAGTGTTATTTTTATACTACTTTCATCCGTTGAAGTTTTTTTTTTGAATGAAAACTACATCTATGTCATTATAATTGGAGGTCAATTTCCACTAATTACAACCATATCATGTGAGATTATTAAGTGAAAGATAATTTAGAACAAATAAACTATGATAAATTCAATGTAAAAATAAAGATACATCTATGCACAGTTTTATTTATTTATAGGTAATTTATACCTACACCCTTGAGATTTGACTTTAATACATAAGCGTTTTGAAAATTTTTCTCTTTAAAACGTATAATCTCATTACAAATTGTTTTCTTCATTGACTATTTGTTAGGTTAGCTAACACTATTTGTTGACAATATTAATTGATGTATTTAATGAATTTTGCTAGTGGCATCCCCCACAACCCACAACCCCCCCCCCCCCCCCCCCCCTTTTTTTTTCCTCGTTATTTTGCTTTATTTTTTAGTAGTAGTGGTGGAGTTGGAGTTAAGTTTTTGTATCCCCTCTCATGTTTGATGAAATGTCGACCAAAGTTGTTGGTGAAGTAATGGTGCAGTTGGAGTTTGAGTTATTGTATCCCTCTCATGTTTGAAAAATATCGACCAAAGTTGGTGGTGAAAATGGATAGATGGATTGTGAATGAAGGGTGGGGTGGAGAAGCAGCTCCATACACAATACAGTCCATCTCAAAGACATGGCAACTAAGGGTGTTAAAGTCATTTTCATTTTTTTTTGTTAACGAGGTTAATGGGAGCCTCTATTTGCACACACCAATTTCACTCTTTGCACACACTTAATGAATTTTATTTTTATTACAATTTTATCCCTAAATAAAATTACCATTATAGACATCTCGCACAATTCAAATAAACACACATCCTCTCAATACACACACAGACGTTGCAATGCCTCTGCTTCCTCATTTTGCTAAATGATCCACACACACACAGACTCCATACCAGAGCTCCAAAGTTACTCCATTCTTCATTAGTGTACACTCCTTGCACAAGCTCCACACTCCTTCCACAAGCTGTCTTCCTCATTCTTCCTTCCTCATTCTTCATTACTTATTTGTGATGGAGGATTTGTCTTCTGAAAATCAGCAAATAAGTATTCATGTGAAGCAGAGCGAAGGAAATGTGAGAAAGATGACTCAACAAATGAAAAAAAAGCATAAAAGTTTGTTGGAGAATGTATTTGAAAGATGGTTAGCTAAAATAGAAAAATAAACTTTTAGTTAAAATTTAACTAAAAATTTGACTATTTTGATGGAGATGCTCTTACATTTAATGTCTTATATCCTCTTTAAATTAGACTTTTCACCAATTTTAACTTACTTAGCAGAAGAAACCTCTTCATATGCTGCACGTTCAGTAATCCCCAAGCCATAAATGAGTAATGTAACTCCATGATGATCTGTCACATCTGGTATGCTGACTGATTTGCCTACAATGGGAAGGCCAAGAATAGTGCCAACATCATCCAGGGTCAAGGTCATCTCACCAACTGTCATGTGAAATGTGTTCGTCTCAGGTTGCCATCTCTCAACAAAACATGAGACTAGAAGCTTGTTGACGAACCGATAAGTGCAACGAGCTAACTGTGACAGTCCAGACTGCTCAATAATGGCTTTGAATCTGGTGTTGTTCTCTACTAACCACCATGGCCATGCAAGGATCTTGGAAGAGTGATTATGACACTTTAGGGGCCCTCGTTCCTACAACACAAATGATTAATTATTACAAACTCCCATACAACACACAAAAAAAAAAAAAACAACTCATATACAAATGAATTTCAATTTTACTGAGGAATGTTTACCTCCCCGTGCCAAATAGCTGCAGCCACATGACTATTGAAACTCCGCAGTATTGACGGATCATTCGGTCCACCTGGAAAAGCATGAGTAAGGTACTCTTCCTGGACAGGAGGAGAATCAGGTAAAGAGGTATCCTCCACACCAATGTCAGGCATATCATAACCTTCAACTCGTCTTTGGCTTCGGCCCCCACTTTGGCTGGCACTGGGAATATCATATTCTACCGAAACTGGATCACGACCTCGACCACGACCTTGACCTCGTCCTCTCCCACGCCCTCGTCCCTGTTCATGGTCTACATCTAATTCACGACGTCGTCTATTTGAAGCAGTAAGTGGGACACGTTGTTGATATTCAGAATCCATATTATCTGCAAAAAATACTAAGTGTGTGTGTAAATAATAACGGTCTGTGTGTGTAAAATTAATGAGAGTGTTTTAAAATATAAGTCTGTGTGTAATGAGTGTGTGTGCAAAATTAATGAGAGTGTGTGTGTACATAATAAGTGTTTTAAATTATAATGAGAGTGTGTGTAGTGAGTGTTATAATTAAGTGTTAGAAGGAAAAAAAAAAAAATTATTTTCTGTTCGGAAGTTGTTGTCCGAAAACACCTACTCTGTTCGGAAGTTGTTGTCCGAAAATACCTGTTCTGTTCGGAACTTGTTGTCCGAAATTATAGCTCATATTCGGAAGTTGAAAACCGAAAAAAAAATTTATTTTCGGCACTTGAAAGCCGAACCAAGTCAATATTTTCGGAACTATAGTGCCGAATGGAAGCAGAAATTTCGGAACTCTACTGCCGAACAAAAACAAAAATTTCGAATAACCAGTGCCGAATGAAACACGGCAATAACAGTGGACTGAAAATTTCGAAAATGGTAAAAATTAACCCTACATTACAAATAAAATAGGAATGAGAAGATTATAATCTGTGTAAACTAACCTAAAATGTGAAAATTTCAATGCTCTTCAATGCCCTTCAATGCCAAAACTTCAATGACTCAAATGGATGGATGAAACTTTTGGGGAGGAACGGTGGAGAGTGTGAGAGATGGGTGTGTGTGTGTGAGGGGTTCTCAGATGGGTGTGTGTGTGAAAGGGGTCTCACGGGTGTGTGTGTGTGAGAGGGGGTGTGTGTGTATGATTTACATTTAAGGGTATATGTGGAATGATAGGTGTGTGTAGTGAGTCAAATATATTAGGATTTATTTTTTTAGTGTGTGTATTAAGAAAGATTTGTATAGAGAGGAAAGGGTGTGTGTATATAGAAGCTTCCGAGGTTAATAGACAAATTTTGACAAGGGAGTCATTGTAATTTTTAGAATGCCAAGAAGGTAATCTATATTTATTGCTAAGCTTCAAGGGATGTAGGTATAATTTAATAAGTTTTACTCAAATTAATAAATTGAAGCGGTAAAGATGTCCAGTTATTTTGACAAGGGTAATTCTATTCACACACACCACAACCTCTCCGTACACATTATTTTCTCAATATACGCTACAAAGATTTTCAATTCTTTGATTTCTTCTCACTTTGCGCTATTAATTTTCTAAAAATTCTAAATTACCCACATCTTCTTCAACTCTTTATCCCAAACCCTAACCCTAACTCTAAACCTAACCATCACCGCTGTTCACTACTTCCTCTTTTGCTGCCGCCTACTCTGCGTAGCCCCTTTCGCCACTATCTTCCCAACGCCACTAGGGTTCTCTCTCTCTCTCTCTCTTGCGCGCGCACGCGTGCATACGCACATCCACGCGAGCAGTGGAAGAGAACCGCAGAGCTAGATCGTGATGGAGGGTTGGGCCGCGATGACGAGAGAGGAGATTAGGTGTTCGCAATGGAAGGAGTGGAAGACGAATCTATTCGCGATGGTGAGGAATCGCTAGTGGAGGAAATTAGAGGGGTTTGCCATGGAGAAAGGGGTTGCCGGTTAGGGAGTGGTAGTGGGGGTGAGAAGTGGTGGGACAACGACGTAGGAAGACTGTGGGGGTTGCGATGGTGGCTAGCGAGAATGGCCGTGGTGGTAGGTGACTATAACGGTGATGGTGACGGTGGCCAGAGGTGGAACGCAGCGACGAAGGCTGGTGGTAGGTGGTGGTGCCCAAAGATGTATATTAAGAGTCTAGGGTTTAGACATATGTCCAAAATGGTAATTTGATAAAGGAATATAAGTGTAATAAAAGGGAGCTTCTATATACACACACAATACCCTCAATGCACACACTTAATGAAGGAGGTGTGTAGGAAGTATAGTGAGGAGAGATGTGTAGAGAGTGGATGTTGTGTGTGTAAATAAAAGCTCCCGTAATAAAAAAATTATGAAAATGGTGTGTATTGAGAGGTTTGATGATGTGTAAATAGAATTTTCTTTTTGAAAAACGATGTTAATTAAGCATCAATTATTAAAAATTGAATAAAAATAGCATAAGAAGTCTATCATTTGAATATTCCCGTTTGGGGAGCCGAGTTTTTAGCCCTTAAAAAAAAAAAAATATTATAAATTATCACATTATTTTTTGTATTTTTTTTTCTATTTTTTCATAAAAAATTAATTAAAATAGTCAATTTTTAAACGAGGTGTAGTAGTTGATAGAACAAAAAAATACATCATCATTAGAGATAGAGTTATGTTAAACACTCCAAATAAATTACTAAATATTTTACCAAACTTCACACATAGATGTGAGACTAATTACACATGTGTGAGTCCCATATCTATATGAAAAATTTGATAAAATATTTGGTAATTCATTTGGAGGTTATAACATTTTCCTTAGACATATGCTTTTTCTGGCATGGGTTTCTCTCTATACAAGGCAAAGTGTCTTTTAGCCTAGGCATGTAGCCTGTAGGGTATTCATGGACAAGTTTGGTTCAGTTCTGGTGTGTGTGTGTTTATTTTATTTTATTTTATTTATTTATTTATTTATTTTATTTTTTATAGAAAATTAGAAAACAATTATGTTAAAATAAAAGTAAACAATATACTGATCAAGAAAAATAAAAAATAATAAGACCCTAAAAGGTCAAACAATATGGGGCTTGGACCAAATCTTTAGCATGGGCCTTAGACACAAGGGCACCTGGTTGGGCTAAATAGCCATAGATATGGCCGAACACTAGTTGCCAGTCTAGTTGACAATGGGTTTGGATGTCTTAATGAAAGCCCAACAAAACAAGTCTGGCAGACATGAACTGCCTG